CGGCCCGGCGGCGACTACAGCCGGAAAGAGGGAGGCCCCGCCCCAGACGCGCCCCGCCCCGCCCCCGGGCTGGTCCCGCCCCTCAGGCCGCTTCAGCCGGCGGGCTCCGGTAGAGTGTGAGTGGGAGGGCTCCGTACCTGCAGGAAAAGGCAAGACTTGGCCGAGAGACGCCGGCCTGACCCCAGAGGAATGTCGCGTCCGTGCAGAGGCTGCTTTCACACGTGAAGAAAAGAAACAACACCGAAGTTGCGATTGTTCGGGGTCAGTTAAGTGGTAAGAGCTAGGAAGAGTTATGTCTTCTCACTGCCAGGTGAGGGCACTTCGCTCCAAACTGAGCTGCTCAATGCCAAGATTTAGTACTATACCGCATGCACTTGGATAAGTCCACTAGCTGTGGACCAGGCACTAGGAGTGAAGGACTGAACAGGACCATCAATGCCCCCGACCCATGGCACTCACAGTCTGGTGCAGTGGTCTGAAAACCTTTCCTGGGTGTGCCTGGCGGGCTCGGTCGCTAGAGCATGTGATTCTTCGTCTCGGCGTTGTGAGTTTGAGCCCCATGTTGGGGGTAGAGATTACTTAATAAATAAAAGTTTAAAAAAGACCCTCTCCCACTCCCCCTGCTTGTGTTCCTGCTCTCGCTATTTCTCTCTGTCAAATAAATAAATAAAATCTTTAAAAAAAAAATTTAAAAAAAAAGTTTAAAAAAGAAAACTTTTTCTGTAAATGTTCTAGGCTTTGTGGGCCATATGCAGCTACTCAGCTTCGCTGTTGTGGTGTTAGAACAGTCATAGATAATGCCTAAATGAAAGTGACTGTGTTCCAACTCTATTTATGGACACTGGAATTTGAATTTCACATAATTTTCATGTGTTGTGAAATATTCTTAAAAAATTTTTTTCAAACACTTAAATACGTAAAAACCATTCTTAGATCCTGGGCCCTACAAAAACAATTTGCTGCCTATGGGTCATAATTTGCCTACTCCTGTTCAAGTGGGAGAAACACACTAAGGGAAGTGGTTACAGAGAGTGGTAACTACTTGAGAGGAAATAGGATAATGTTGGGTGGAGAAGGCCCTGCTGATGAGGGGGCATTTAAGTTGAGCACTAAGGATGAAAATGAGCCCACCCTCTGAAGAGATGGGGGAAGAGTAATTTATGAAGAAGAGAGAGCAAGCGGAAGGGCCCCAAGGCAGGAAAGCATTTGACAATTTGTAGGAAGAGAAAGGAGACTAGTATGGCTGGAGCTTGGTGAGCATCGGGGCTAAGGAGGAAGGTGCTATGAGATGAAGCTAAAAAGATAGGCAGGAGCCAGGTTTTAAAGTATCTTGTGGCGGTTGTGGGAGTTTAAATTTTACCCTAGGCATTATAATGGAAAACCATCGAAAGGTTTTAAGCAGGGAAGTGGCATGATTGATTTACTATAAAAAAAAAAAAATCACTCTGGCTACTGTGTTGACTGGATTGGAGAGTAGGCAGCTGTTGCAATAATCCAGGGGAGAAATGGCATGGCTTCTACTCAGTGATGGTGGCAATAGAGAGGAATGGATGGCTGCAAGAGATATATTTAGGAAACAGAAATAACATAAAATTGCTGACAGTTCAGCTGTGGTGTGTTAGTTCAGGTTCTTTGAGAAACAGACCATAAGGTTAGATTAAATGTACAAAAGACTTATTGGGGAAGACACCTGTGAAGGAAAAACAGGGAGGGCTCTGAAGGGGACTGAGAAAACCTTTAGACTGGATGCTGATTCAACTCTCATGGAGGACAGGAGAAAAATGGGTAGGAAAAGTTGTAGATATGATGCAATTCTAAGAATCTTTCAAGAAAGTCAATGGGGAATCCTCAAGCCAATGTCCCCTATCAGAGGAGTCCTATGTCTTCCAGGAATGGGCCTCCTTTACTGACCCTGCCTCACTCAGTCACTGGCTGGGAGTAATCCATGGGACATGCAGCCTGGATCATGGTGATAGATTTCAGAGCACAGCAACTGGGGCCATCAGCCCATAATGCTCCCTGTGATCAGAGATCTGAGCGGTGTGTTTTCATGGCTGCCACATATGGGAAATAAGGGAAAGGGAAATTGCAGGATCACTTCTAATTGTTGGCTTGAACAACTGGATGATTGTGCCATTTACTGAAATGGTGACTTAAGAGAGAGATTAGAAGCTGTATTTAGGACTATAATGATTGAGATGTTTAATAGACATCCAAGTAGAGATTGAATAGCAATTGAATAAATCTGGAACTCGGGAGTGAAGTTCGGTGCTAAAGGTGTGAGTTTAGAAGGCGTCAGCATTTAAAGCCATGGGATTGGATAAAATCACCTATGCAAAGAACAGGCAAATAAGAAGTAGCATGGAGTGCTGTCTCCAATATTTAGAGTTCAAGCTTAAAAGGCAAAGCCAGAGGGGAGGAGAGTTTGCAGCTACAGAGAGGAAAATGTCATTTCTGTCAAACACTGCTCAGAGATCAAGAGTCCCTTAGATTGGATAATATGGGCATTCTTGGTGACCTTGACAAAAGCAGTTTCAGTACTGTGATGAAGATGCAAGCCCAGATAAAACTGGGCTGATGAGTGAATGTGAGATGGGAAACTGGTTATAAAGCTGTAGAGAAGGCCTATAGTAAAGAGAACGAGAGAGAAGTGGGGCTGTAGTTAAGGTGGGATATGGGATTAGAGAAAGAAGCTCTAGGATGAAATTTACTAGAGCAGATTATGCTGATGGGAATGATTTAGTGGAAAGGAAGAGATTGGTGATGCAGGAGAGAGAGTGGGGACCACTGAAGGAATAAGATACTTGAGAAGGCAAAAGGGTACTGGAGCCAGAGCACAAGTGGAGGAATTTCCTTTTTTTTTTTAAGTTTTATTTTAATTCCAGTTAGTTAAC